GCAGCCCGACATAGCTCTCAGCAATACCAATTTGTTTTCTACAATATTTGTCTTATTTTTTTTGTATCGGAATTAGCTTCAATCAATCTTGAAGCAAAAAGCCTCCATTGGAGTTGGACAGCTCAGGCCTCCATGCAGGCAGACATATGCTGCCAGTGGCTATGACTGCTTTATAGGGTATAAATAGCTTGACAATACACCGCTATGTGGAGCAGAAAAAGAAGTATCAGTGCTCTGGCTCTTCTGTAGCTTCTTTGTTCCTTTAAGTGGGACACATTTGATAGCACTGTTACTGTTGAAGCGAAGTGGATGGCTTGTGGCTGAATTGATATAAAGCATGATGGAAAAACTGACAAGGCTTGAAGGGATTTGAGGAGACATTCATGAGTTTTAAGAGGTTTTTAACAAGCAGACATAGTGGTGATAATTTTGGTTACTCCCTGCAGTTTTTACTGTATGTTATGTTTAGAAATAACGTTTTATTGTGAAAACGATGCAAAGTGGACGGAGTTCAATTGTACTTTTTTGACAATGTTTTGCATTGCTGCTTCTTACTTCTAATTTCGAGTTTAAATGTCTACTAACTGAATATGATTGAACCTTGATGCCTCCTTTTGAGGTTTATCGCTTAATTACTTACAAAATACAGTGTTTTGCATCACACTGATAACACTAAACCAAAAATACGACGTATTTGCACCGCATATATTTAATGCTCTGAACTTCCATATCAATGCGTTTTGGCACCATTTTTTTTCTCCCACACTGTTTACATTTGATTTAAGTTTTTTTGTGTTTCTTTTCCTTTTAAAGCTACAAAGTGCTCTAATCAAATTTAAACTTTGCATTTCAGACATTAAATCCCAAATGGAACGAAGAATTCTACTTCCGGGTAAGCTTAGTATTGAAATCTCATGTGTGATAATAATTGTCCTTTTTTTTTTTTTTTTTGTTACTACATCAGCCTCCAACTTGTTGTTGGATGAGTAATCTGCTGTTGCACTGTTTCCTGACATATATGCTAACAAATAGAAAAATGTTTTTTTTGTGTGACTTAATGAGAATAATGGAGGGGATTTTTCCTGGCACATCAAGCTGAATAGAAATTGTGTATCCTCCAGCATGATAAATGCTGGAGGATACACAGCATGATAAAGAGGATGCTGGAAACTGTCTATTTATGCCACTGAAACGGGAAGCATAAAAGCATGTATTTTATGACCAGATTAGTTTGTTTTGAACTATTCTTTATATTTTGATTTTATGTCATCATTTTATTTATGTATTCCGATAGACCAAGACAAATTAGTGTAAATGCAATGTGGAAGAAAAGCATACATAGTTTTCAAAATCTTGTACAAAAACAAATCGGAAAAGTGTGGCATATATTCTCAGCTTTTCTGAGTAGAATCACACTTTTCTGCAACTAACGTTTCTTTCATTTTTGCATGTATAAAACATTTTGGCTCTTTCGTCTTTGCGAAATTGCTGAAGCTCAGTCACAATGGCTGGGAAGAGTTTGGGAATATCAGTTTTCAAGTTTCACCACAGATTCTTGATTGAATTTAGTCCTGTGCTCTTCTAACACATGAGTACACTTTGATCTGAACCATTCCATTGTAGTTTTACTCCCTTGTTTCACTTTCAGAATAGTGTGCAGGATAATGCATATTATTAGCTTCTTTGCATGCATGTCAAAATATTGCAGGTCTCATTCATATCAGGTTATTTATATAGTAATATTTCAGTCTGAGCATGCCTGCAGCAATAGTGGAGAGGAAAAACTCCCTTTTATCAGGAAGAATCCTCCAGCACAACCAGGCTCGGTGTGAGTGGCCTTCAGCTGAGGCCGACTGCGATTCAAGGAGAGAGATATATAAACATAAAAGCACTGATCTATAAACTCTTTCTATATTAATAAAGGTAACGGTAAACTAGCAGCATAGGTGGCTTAATCTGCGAGAGAAACTGTAGATGAGCTCTGAGGCAGTTTTCATGTCAAAGGATATTGTTTTATAAACAAACTCTGCCTCTCAGTTCTACATAATTTTATTCATAAACTGTCTGATTTGTTCATTAGTCTTTATAAAAACCAAAACAAATCAATTCTTTAATTTAGGGCTACCAGAATAAAGATGGATTTATCCAAAAATTATATTGTTAAATGTCAATGCAAATAAACATAAAAAAAAACATGTTTTGTTCTGTTTCCACATCACATTTATGGGCTGCTTTGCATTAGTGTATCAACGAAAACCTGACAAATGATTTTAAAGTTTCTGGTAACAAATGTTAACTCCTTTACATGGAGATAAAGGCAGATAACTTTTTATAGTTTGTCTTCCATGAAAACACAATTTGTATTTGACAGGACTGAACAGAACCAATGCTATGCCTCACCCCTGTTATTTGTTTCCCAACAGGTGTGCCCACAGAACCACAGGCTACTCTTTGAGGTGTTTGATGAAAACAGATTGGTAAGATTCAGACTCCTCATCCATCCCTCTGATTTATGCTGCTTTACAGTTTGCCAGAGCTTGAATGTGGTTTTGATGCCATAGTTTCAGTAATAATAGGATTTTTGATAATACTATCTTTTATGCTTTTTGTTCCCATTATTCTGATATCTTAACACCAAAATGGAACGACTATAGGACTCATTTAGCTTGATCTTTTCCTGCTTCCTTTTATTTATTAGCAATTAAAAACCTCCCGTCTCTAATACATTGTGTCTACCTAATCCCTTTTAAGCAGGTTGTGGAGACAGATTTATGCAATAAATGACTAACGGCTTGTTTTTTTTTGCTCAGCTACAACATCGTCTGGCTTTTAACGTGCTTGTGCTTTTATCCAAGTATTTCCTTCCTTACAAAGTCGCTGGTTTTCTACACTTGAGCCCTCAGTTGCCATAACAACCAAATACATTTCAAGTTTTGCAGCAATCAGAATGGCAGGAAAGTATTGATGATAAATTTGGTAATTTACTCTACTGTGTGAATGAAATGTGTGCAGAGCTGATGGATTAGTGCAGTAGTCTCTGACATCAGCAGGAATAAGAGACAGACTAATCCCAAGGTTCCTCAATGTTTCTGTTCATAAATAACTCCCAAGATTTAGTTCCATGTCTGTTTTGATGTTGATGCTCCGTCCGAGTCTTACCTTGAACGTCAGGTTTGTGAAAATTTGGGGCTTTTTTAATACACAGATATAAGGCTGTAGATTACTGTATAAATTGACCAAATCAGCCGACTTTATGCCTGAAATTCATTCACTGATTTAGTCAGGTGACCGGCGTGAATACACCGCTGTGTGCTGAGAAAACCTGTTGGCAACCCCTGTTAAATATAGAGCAGCTTTTATTTATCCCTGAGTGCAGTAAGAGCTCAATGTTTCTATAAGGTGAAGGAAGTCAAGAAAGCACAGCACAGACGGCCTCAGGCGCAGTTCACTCCTTATAAGTAGTAGGAGGTGCTCTCAGTCCATCCTGAGGTGCTTGCCAAGGCAGCTCCTCCACCTCTGGCCCGTGCTTTTTTTTTAACAGGGCTGCTTACTGTTTTATATCCATTGATTTATGCTTCTGTTATCAGATGGATTTGGTTTTCTGCTGCTTTAACACAGAAATAAATGCTCTTGGTACACTTACTCCTATCTATTGTTGGTGCCCACAGTACAGCCCATGTATGACTTTCAACCCAACCCATCTGCAGTACAGCATGATATCTAAATCGAGGAAGGCATGTTATATCATTTCTGCGAGCTGGGCTATCTGCCATTTGACTGCACATTTACATTCTCCTTTCTTTATACCGAATATTTGCTGTAACATTTCACACACTCATGTATTGACTGTGCCTAACACTGCAGGCGGTGTGTCATCTCCAAGCCCAACAGCCTGCCAAGACACGATTTCTTCCCGTGCTTAACTCTTCCTTTTTTTCTTGCTCTGAGCTCTTTTCCTTCCTTTTTGTCTTTTTTTTCTGTGCGTTTTGTTATAATAGAGTATCAGCAGCTTGTTCGAGAGTAGATCAGAACACAGATTGATCAGTCACAGAAGGTAAACGCAAGGCAACTGCTTTCCAGGCATTTATCTCTAAAAGGTCAAATGATGACAGAGGTTTTGTCGGTTCTGTTCTTTCTCTTGCACTAATGCAGTCCTTTCCTTTCAACATGCTGCTAGATTGTTTTGCTCAGTAGCGATGTGATTCACCAAAGCCCTCCTTATGAATGTACGGCTTGCTGTGAGAGGTGCTTTAGCATTATTTGAGGGTTTTGTCATTCAGGATCTCAGCTGATTTGTATCCCAGGTGATATTTAGATGCAAACAGAACGGTCTATAAAACAAGCAGGCAGTTAAATGTTTTGCTCTGTACAGGGGAGATAGTGTGTCTATTCTGCGTTGTGTAGTTTGATCTCCTGGGATGGCCGCTTTGTTTGTCTTATCAAAGCTGCAATCTGTCAAAGGGTCTCTTTGCTTTCCTGGTGCCTTTTTATCTGGTTTGAGTTTCCTTCCAAATCCTTATCTTATCCTAAGAGAGTATAGAAAAATGGTTTATGTTTAATGTTGCATGTTTCTTATTTTCTTGTAGAAAATTGTCATTTATTGAGTGACTTGGTGGGAAAATTGTCTCCCATTTGTCCTTTGTAGGAAAGTAGATATAGATTTCTGTTTTGTTTTCCCCCTCTGGTATATATATATATATATATATATATATATATATATATATATATATATATATATATATATATATATATATATATATATATATATATATATAGCCGTTGTTTGATCTCTTATATTACCAAGATATGGATGCGAAAGGCTAGATGGTGTTTTGGACAGTGGTTGGTATTTTGTGTCCTGGTGTGGGTGGGAGTTGTTGTAACTTGAGGTGGTGGGCCTGTTTGGAGTCATGTGACTGACAGGCAACCTTCTGTCACCTCAGCAACCAGGAACTCCTCACGCTGTCACCCTATCATGGCAGGAATGCTGGCTGTCACTCGACCAAGGCTATTTCTGCTGCCTGTCGCTGGTGCTTGGTGTTCCTAATAGTTTGCTCTACAGGGATCCTCCATTCTTAATTTGTTTTAATTTTAGTTGCCCTTCCTCTGTGAACTCTTATTTTCCACCTTATATTGGAGTATTTTGCTGCTGCTGTTGTGTTTTTGCGGTGAGACAGCTCTGGTCTGTGTGTATTTCATTGTGGGATTGGAAAGTTGTGGAAGAGACTGGGAGAGAGTGGAAAGGAAGGGAGGGGGAAGAAAAAAGGGGATAAGTCATCTAACCAGCCAGCCAAAGGAGAGGTGGGCGACACAAGGAGAGGAGGGAACCAACAGTAAGTCAGAGATTTTACAGTAAGTGAGAGTGAATAGAAGCTGTAGGACATGAACTGAAAATGGCTCAGCGTCTGCGTTTGTACTTTGGATCTGGCCGTAGCAACACTGCTCCGGAGATGCTGGAAACGGACCCAGAGGAGCATGAAGGAGAGAGGGAAGCGGGTAGAGCACACTATGCGAGGCCTCCTCCATTACCTAGGCCTCCTTGGGAGTCTGCAGCGCAACATATCCCTTCTGGAAGTTATGGTTTACGTTCGGAGCCTTCACTCAAAAGGAGCTCTTCCATGTTCATACCACAGCTCACTTACTACCCCGAACAACGAACCACCAAGAGCTCGTCGGTGCAGATCTCTCTCCAGCCGTCTAATGGATCAATTAGAAGAAATTCTGATAGCCTTGTTGATGATGTCCCACCACCTTGTTATACTCCACCTGGACCTGCGCCTGCGTATCCTGAACCCCAGATTCAGGAAGACTTTCCTCACCAGCCACCTCCTCCATACTACAACCCAGATTCTTTAAACTCTCAATCATTGCTGAATGAACCAAACCTTCCCAAACGCAGAGTTTTTAGCATTGGGTCGAGTGGATATCCTACAGTTAATGGAGGCGCCACTGGTTTTAGTGTTGGTACCATTTGTATCCAGAGAAATTCTCCGGAGAATTTTGATGTCAAACATTTCAGGATCCATCCTTACTGTGGAGATGGTCGGCAGCAGAGTCAAGAGCCATGTTCTGGTGTTAATGGTGCGACACAGAGGCTGGTTTTCCAGCTGCAGCAAAACCAGGATCAGACCCAGGATAGTCAGCAGACTGCTGGATCCCAGGAGGACTTTGGTAGAGAAAGCCCAAGAGGCATCCGCACGGTCCGTTACCCAAGAATTCGACTACAGAGGAGCTCCTCTCATCCCAGGCTGCTGCTGGAAAATAAACATCAGAAGAATGTGGCAGACTTCCAAACCATAGAGGAGAATCAGACTGATGTGGAACTGGAAACAAAGGATAGATCAAAATGTTGTACTTTTAAAATCAGTGAGGAAAATCCGAGGAGACAGCCGCATTTCAAGATATTCTTCACCCAAAGTGGAAGTGGAGATCAGGATGTAACACTTAGCAAGCAGCTGACAACAAATGAACCCAAGGTAAAGCTTAATAGTGTTTAGTGAGACTGTTGGCTGCCCTTTGAAAATTTGCAGATACTGCGTTTATTATTTTCCGTAGGATTGTCTCAGATTTTAGGATGCTATAACATTCTGGGAACTGCATAAAAGAAAAACACAGTTTCTCTCTTTCTCTCTCCTCTCAACCACAGGCATTTTAAATTTTCCACACTTCAGCCAATTCAGCTATGAAAGAAGCAGGAACAGGCTTGTTGATAGCAGGGATTTCTATCCCCACTTTTCACTTGTGTCCTCCAGTGTCTCAGAAATCTAACACCTCAAGTTTTGATAAAACTCCCAATAGCAATCAGAGCTCTTTAAGTCTGTTTCTATCTTTAGACTTCTTTAAGCGCTGGTGTTGAGTTTAAGAGCAGGCAGATGGTTTTACATCTCTGGCACCAAGGTAGTGTGAATCTGTATGATTCAACTGCTTTGCAAGTGATTGGAGGATTTCTTATGGCCAGTTCAATGACTGGGAAGTCTCACAGGAGCAATCAGTGTTTACTAGAAGCCAGAAGCCATCTTGTTGAAGTGGACCCAGATGTCTATTTAGCTTCCTTTCTCAAAGGTTTTGCTTTTAGATGTTTTGTTTTTAGGAAAACTTTTTATACTGGTTATATTGACTGTTATATATTTTGAAAGTACTTTTATTATCAGAAAATAAAGGCTAGAAAAATCTATGGAATAAAACAACGCAGGTAACACTAAGGGGCTGGTTATACTCCCGCAGCAGTGTGTCGCAGTGAGCTTGTCGCAGGTATGACGCAGACATTTTTGATTTATGCTCAATACTGAAGCGTGGTCTGCACTATGTTTATTCCACGCCACAATGCAAGAACTAGCTGTGGGTCTAAATGCGGCCGAGGCGGCGAGAAAATGGGGGCAAGTTTGTCCGACAATGGAGGGCATGAGGGTGAAAAAGAGCGGGGATCCAGGTGGAAAATGGGTTCCAGTGTTCTCGTGCTCCTCGCTCTTCTAGCTGGTCCATTCTCACGAGACGTTTTCCGCAATCATGGTCATAAAAACAAAACAAGCCGGTAAGGCACCAAACAGGAGACGAATAGTGTAGAGCGGATGTAGATTTGACCAATCAGAGGCCTCCTGTCTGCAGTCACCTACAATTTGGGAGAGGTACAGCAGAGTGTCTGCACAGGGGGCGGGGGACGTCTGCATTCACCGCGACACCTACGCAGACGACCTAGTTTCAAAGTATAAATCAGCCTTAAGGCGGGACGGGCATGTTTGTACCGATGCTGTGCCAGTTCTTACCCACTAGACAGTCAAGGGTTTGAAAAATAATTTTTCTATGTTTTTTCCTTTTGATAAAGTGGGGATTTTTTTATTATTGTTTCGATTGGGTCCTAAACCTTTATACACCATAGGAGTCAGAAATTAGTCGTAATATAGCTGGTAGATTTTGCCTTTTATCTACCAAATTATTGTTGATTATGATGAGCTATGAACACAAACATACAGATTTGTCTGTACCTGTTTGTCTGATAAACTAGCTGCAGAGGGCTGTGCCAGAGAGGCCTTCCATTATTACAGGCTAGCAGTGACAAAGATCTCCTTATGACCAACTGCAAAGGCTATATTTACCTGAGGCTGAACGGATGGGGGAATGTTTTTGTTAGATGGGGGTTCTCTTTTTATTTCTGGCCTTTGGACAGTCAAAGAGATTTGAATCTCTGTTGTTGTGAGGGGCTTTTCTCCGTCAGCTCTGATCTCTCATATGAGCATAGCTGGATAATTCAGTTGTGTCAGCACTGAGACTGTTAAGTGTGTGAGAGAGACTTTTGACACCTCAGAGGCAGCTTGGTCTCATTCCAGTTTGCCCTAAATCGTAACGTCTGTTGCCACCTCTTCTTTTATGCCATCAGGTCCTTTTGAAAAAATTTTTTTTTTAATCCTTAAGTTTGGTGTTTGACTGTTTGAAAGTAACCTAATTAATTATGGTTATAATGGGTCATTATGTACAGTCATTTAGGAAAAATACTAATATCAATGAGGTAAATAAAGCTAGTTTAAGATTATTATCTGTAGGAAAAAGTCGTCAAATTTACAAGAAAAAAAGACTTGAAATGTTTCACAACTAATTTTTATGAATACAATATGAGTTTTACTTTGTAAAGCAAATGACAAAAATACAGATCTTTCAATGTTTTAATTCTTTTTAGATGTACCTCTGATTTTGCTCTATTTTTTGACAAGAAGTGGAATAAATAAAGAAAGAAAAACTATATGTAATTAGATTAGAGTTAAAGGTTTTTTTTCCCTTGTACATGTTTTTTGAAAATACTTAAAGAATTTAGGTTTCTTTTTTTTTTTTTTTTTTTATACTTGACGTAATGTTTCCAAATTATAAATAGGCTTGAAGGACAATGTGCATAGGTTAGCCCTAAGTTATTCATACCGCTAGCAGATTTAGGTTCATGGTCATCTTTAAAATTGACTAGTGTGTTTAATGTGATAGGTGTAAGGCTACTTTTAAGGTTTCTGAGTGTACCAGGCTAATCTATTAATTTGTCAATGCTTTTTTAGGACGAGGGTAATTGCAAGAAAGCTGTTCAACCCCAAGTATTTGGTAAATGATAAATGGCCTGTACTTTCACTTGACCAAAGCGCATTACCCTACATACAGTCATTCACCCATTCACGCACACATCGATGGTGGCAAACTACATTGTAGCCACAGCTGCAGAAGCAGGGCTCACTGACAGAAGCAGGGCTGCCGTACACTGGCGCCACCATCAGTAGACAATGCAGGTGAAGTGTCTTGCCCAAGGACACAACAACACTGAAAGTCGGAGCCGGGGCTTGAACCGTCAATCCTTCGATTTCAGGGCAAACTCCTACATCCGACGCCACTGTTGGAGGTTATCACCAAAGATGAATCTTAATGCCAGTTGAAAAATTCAAAAAGGCGATTTTTCTTAATGGAAAACAAATTATTCTTCAAAGTAGCACTTTTAATAATTAATTTAGTAATTATATTTTGACTAATGTTTGTCTTCTTTTATATCAAACATGAACTTGGAATGAAGATTTTTTTTAAATCTGCGGGGCACTAATATGGCTTAATTTTAGGTAGGAAAAGGTTTAATCTACTGGTAAAGTAACATTATTCCCAGTGTAGATTTTTTTTTCTCTTATAAGAAAAAGCGATATTATGTGGGTATGTTGGGAGTCTGTAGGCTAGGTCAACACCTCAGACAATCTCTTTAACGAGGGATCCTGTTTCCCAGTGCAGTGATGCAACTAGTCTGTAAAAAGGCTTGAGTGGGTGGCAAGTGTCAAATTAATATCCATGTGAATGCCAGCATGCAAATGTTCCCTACAGAAGACTGGGTGAGTAGTTTAATGATAGTTCTTTGATGAAATAATCTGTTTGTTTTGCTGTCTAAAATTTTGGAGATGGCCAAAGTAGGTGTTCACCGCTTTCAGAAATCTTTGCCTGTCCTTTTTACATCTCTTGATCTCTGATAGCAAACTTCCATTCTAGAAAAAAAAAAAAAAACATGTCTGGACAACAGTGGTACTTCCAGATGTGATCCTTTTAATAACACTATAACTTCAGTCTTCGGCACATAAATAACCACAGTGTAAAGTTGTCATTATGGTTAAAGTAAAAAAAAAAACAATACAAAAATAACCCAGTCCTAAATTCCTATTCATCTCAGATGTTTAAATGTGAGGCAATTGAGCCTCTATAAAGTGCATTTTCCAGTTCTAGCCTACAAAATACCCCCCCCCCCCCCCAGCTATTTTAATAGATTGCTTAGTTTCCTTTTGTGTTGTTTTCTGGTTAAATATTTTAATAGCTCACTCCCATTGAAAATGAGAATCCTTGCCTTCAGTAACACATTCCACACTGAAGAGTGTTGTTGTTATTATCTCCAAATTATGCTCTGCTATATTAACTTCACCAACTGGATGAAAAAAAGTTTTACACCTGCTGGTCACTCAGTGTGGTCTCCCTGAATATTTCTTTAAGCAACTTCTCTGAACAAACAAACATGGCCCAGACATGAAGCAGTCTGCATCATAAGAGGGGCAAAGAAAAGTTAATATTTTATTTTGGAAAGTTTTATCAGTGTTAGAAGTTGCTGTTGCCCTGCATGTTTCCTTTTGCTGTCTCCGTTAATGTGTTATGGTTCTGAATCATGTGAAAGTTGTGTAAGGAGTAAATTAATAGTCTTGTTGGTTTAGCAATTGAAAGCAAATCCTAATGTCACCTTTCCAAGAATAGTTTCCTGGGTGTGTCAGTGTTTGTGTGTGTGTGGATGTGCGTGCCTATTTTTACAGTACACATTTGTACAAATGAAAGATTTCCGGTTATGTTGATTGCAGAGGGAGGCTGGTGAGCTCACCTCCCAGAGTTGCTTGAGTTTTTTGCTGCTTATCATCATAGTAAAATAGCATTGCTGCTTGAAATATTAAGCTTCAACCAGCAGGGAAAACTAGGTCAGTTTAGTTTTTTTCTCACAGCCAATGGAAATGAAAGAATCTATTATAGATTTATATTTAGATCGCTCTGTTTTTTATATTTAATGTGCCTCATCTCTTGCCCATAGATGAAAGGACACTTGTTCAAAAAGGAAAAAAGGATCATTTCAGAAATATTATAGCACGTAGACCCCAAATACCAGACAATAGATTGAAATAAAAAAAATTTATGAATCCCAAGTTGTAATTTTTTAAGGAATTTCCATTCGGTGTCAGAGACCCCATTTAGATTTTATAGATTAGAGCATCAAAGGTTTTATAAAGGAGCAGTTTTAAGTTTGCTCAGATGAAAAAACAAACTGCTGTGGTTCTTAACCACACTGCTAGAACCAGCTTCCCTGTTTTGTTTTTTTTCCAAGGATGTTATAAACTCCAGCTAGGTTAAAGTTCTGTACTCAAATGTCTAGAGCACCTAGAGTAAGCAAGTATCGAATCATCAAATTTGATATTTGTTGACTTGTTTTATTTAGCAGAATAAGCAATATGGATTTTCCATGTATGTCCTGTCTCTTGAATAGAACAAATTTACCACCATGGGAGTAGAAGGTGTTTCCATTTTTTTATGTAACAGATATATATATATATATATATATATATATATATATATATATATATATATATATATATATATATATATATATATATATATATATATATATATATATATATATATATATATTAGATTGCTAAAAGATTGAAATGACCTCCTGTCAATGTTACAGCCCAAGGCAGATGTACATACCTTTGATAAAACTTATTTGACCTTGTGGAGCAGTATTACCGGATGCATGGTTACTTGTTTTGCTAAAGGTCATTGGTGTTGTGATTTTAACCTCTTTATTTTACTTATCACTACCATGATCTACATAAGTTTCCCTTATCACACTGGCATTAGTTTGCCAAGATTCAGTGGATTGTTTCATTGCAGGCTCTCTGTCAAATCCCTTAAAGCAAGCAACACCTTTGTTAGTCTGTGCAAAGTGTCTAAAAAAAAGTTGTGTCCCACACACAGGCTTCTCCCAAGAATGGACTTTTTCATCTTGGACAGGTAATCTTGCTCAGTCATGGACAACTCTGTGGACCTCTGCAGACTGAAACTCAAAACCTTTCCTGAATCTGCCCTGTCGTCACATCTGTCCTTTTTTACCCTCCGTCAGTTGACTTGGCTTCTATTTGGTGGCAGTAGATGATGGTTTTTTCCCTTGCTGGGTTCACAGGGGGTCTTTTGGCACCCCTGAGGTGGTTCTTTAAAGCCTGTCTATAAATAAAAATCAAATTTGAGCGTGGTTGAACACCTGTGGTACTCTGTAAAAATCATTTTTGACAGTGTTTATGAAGTCTGAATTATCTCAGATTAGGTGATCTAAAGCTAGTGTCCTGCAGCTGTATGACACTATTTTTTGCTAGAAATGTCCTCCAACAATGTTATAATAAAAAAGATAATTAACCATCTATGCTATAAAGTACAAACCTGTAACAAACCCAAAAATGTATGGCTGATTTACAAGATTTAGTAAAAAAATTTATTTTCCTCAGAAATCTACAGGTGTTCATTCATTAGGCAAAACGATATTTCTGGATGGGGCTGACTGGCTTTAATGTTAAATTAATTTTGGCCTTTCTCTCTCTGCTGATAAAAAAACTGCTACATGTTTTTGTTTTTTTTTGGTGCAAGAGGTAATTTCTCTCGACATTGTGGTTTCCCCCTCTTTATCCCTGCTTTTATTTTTGACTCTGTCCAAAACACTTTTCTAGAAGCCTCTAAAATGTCTCCTTTTCATTTCTACCCTTCAGACTAGAGATGATTTCCTTGGACAAGTCGACGTTCCTCTCAGTCATCTGCCGGTGAGTAATTTATATCTCTGTGTGTATGTGTGCACACGGGCTGTGTTAACAGCGTTCTGAAGACTCAGCCATTCCTTATCATTCAGTTTTGCTGTGGCTTATTAACCCCCATGAAGCTGGGGTTGTGTGTGTGAGAAAGTGCCTGTCCAGTAGCAAGCTTGTTGTTGTACTAATCTGTTTAGAAATAGAAAGCTGGCACAAGACAATGTAAACACCTGGATTTTCGGTTGTGAAACGTCACCATCAATGGGAAAAAACTTTTTCACTGAGTACTGGGAAACAGTCTTCGAAAACAACATTTATCATCAGTCTGAGCAGGTTGTTTTGGATTCATGAGACATTTATGCTATTTAACTATGAAATGCTCATCACTCTCGGTTAGGCGATTGTTCAAGATCAGCCCTGCTTTGTTCCTTCTGTCTTCCCCCTGCTGGGAGACAATTGTGATGTTACCCTTCTAAATTAATCGTATAATGTGTTGCCTTCTTTAAAAAGGGTTAGCATAGTTATTAACATGGGAATGTTTTGCATGGGTTTCCAGATGGGGAGTGGTAGCCTACTGGTTAGGGGACAGAGCTTAGATTGCCACTCTTGGTCTTTGAGCAAGACCCTTAACCCCACACTGCTCCCTGGGCGCCGCACAATGGCAGTATTGCAGCGACTTCAGGAAACAAAAAAAAGCTGCTGAGAGGCTGAGGTCCAGCCTTTTCTTCTCTGATGCGCTCGTTCAAAAAAGGAATCCGCTGAGATCAATATGGTGCTGATATGAACTTTATTCACATCAAAAGTAAAGGACATGTCCAAAATATAACTTGTCGAAACATAAATTACAACGATTTGTACTTTACGTTCAACAAAAAACACAGCGGCCCTCTCACCCACTTTCTGCCAGAGACACTCCCACAGGTGAGTAATATGCCCAATTACAAAACTCCCCCCAAATCTAATTGATCCATTCCCTTACAAACAAACAACCAAACTAACAAATAGAAACATAACAGCTATAAACTCAGACAAACGAACATCAAAGCATCTTTTTATTTATGGCTCCTTCAGGCAGACAACTACTTCCCAAGGGGGTGGGTTAAATGCAGAGGTAAATTTCTCCAATGTGAGATCAATAAAGTTCAATTATTATTATTAGGTTACCTTGTGACTTCTGAAAAAATGCAAAAAAACAAAACACTAAATATCTGGATGACATGTTTTTTCTTTATAGAGTAAAGCAGTATGAAAACCCAGATAAAAAAAACTGTTTAAAACTGTTTAAAAATAAGAATACAATTATCTTGGGTTTAAAAAGGTGGTAATTAGTGTGTAAGTAGCTAATTGTGGCTGTTTTTAATTTATTTTTTTCCCTATGTATATGTTGTTTTATATCTTTGTGCATGTAGTTATTTACAGTGGTGTGCACAGCTAACCACTTATTGTCTTGTGTCTTTGTCTCCTTGTAGTTAGAGAGAGTGAAAGTGACACAAACACATGTTGATGTTCGTTTGGAGCTATCAGTTTACTTTAAAGACTGTGGGGCATTTTTCCATCTTCATTAAGTTGAAGAATAGCTGAACACCTTATAACTGCCAATATTAACTACGGTTATTTAACTCAAGTCAGTGTATTAAAATCCCATACCTAAAGCAAACCTATGAGTTAGGGGCCTTTTACAGATCTGACAAGTGTGCTGTCAGCTTTGGTTGTTGCTCAATAGAGTTTTATCTTGGGTTTCAAGCCTGAAAAGTCCATTAGTAGATATTGCTGGGATTAATTATTGATGTCCTGTTTTACTCCCAGAGGTCTTGGAAAATGTTAGCAGATAAAAGCCCCAGCTGAATGATGTTTAAATGAAGGAAGATAATCTGTTTCTATAATTTAGCTAATGCTGCGTATTATAATAGGTCAGGGAGTTTATGCCTCTATAGAGTTGTTTTCATTCAATTCATTTATATTACACACTGCTGCAAGTTGTTGGAATTTGTATTATTCATAGTTACTGGACTTCTGAAGTCATCTTTTTTCCACTATAGTAGTTTGCCACATATGATGAATCATGATTTAAGACTGACTCATGTTTGGTGGTTCAGCAGTCCTCCACATCACCTATGTTTGCCACATTTGCCTTTTGAAACTTGGATCACTTCTTTAAAGCCTGGCATAAACATCACAGCATTAGATTCTGGGGGGAAAAAACATCTTCCATTCAATCTCCCATGATTTTTATTTATAGTTCATATTTTATGTTAGTTAAACAATACACAACAACACGTTTTTGCTTATTTGACCCCTTAGGTTTGTGGTTTTAACTAAACATTTAGCTGTTTTATGGAAATTTCAGTTTGAGTGAGGGGTCCCTTACAAAGCAGCATATAGTGAGCAAGACAGCATGGCCTGGTATCGCCCTGTCATGGAGCAGAGTGAAATCTCAAAATGATCTGTGACCTTTCTGCTCTCCAGTAGGAAACAGGAGTACCTCAGCATTGCATGATGACTGATTTACAGGGCGGATGTGGCCACAGTTAAAGGTTGATTGTCATCATTTGTTTGTTTCTTAGACCCTTATTTCTCCTTCAATTCTTTTTACAGACAGAGGACCCAGCTATGGAGCGTCCATACACATTTAAAGACTTCCTGTTACGGCCAAGAAGGTTAGTTTTTACTGAAGGTGACAAATACGTTTTTGCACATAAGTAGAGGAAAATCTGATATTTTGATGGTTTCAAGAATTCATCCAACTCTTTTTAGACTACTGAAAGTGAAATAATGTCAGAGGCTGATAATGTTGCCTGGAAACTGACCTACATTTCCAACATGTCAAGCTCATGTGTTCGTTCCAGTCATAAGTCCAGGGTGAAGGGCTACTTGCGTCTGAAAATGGCCTATCTGCCCAAACAAGGAGGACAAGAGGAGGAGGCTGGAGAGATGAGGGAAGAGGCTGAGGTAAGGTCTCAGACACTACTGCTGCTAACTTTCTTTTGAACCTGCTGACTCTGCATTATCTAGCTTAGGGCTTTTTGATTTTACCTTTTTTCAAAACCAGACAGTGTCTTATTCTCATTCCTTCCTGAATAAGAAAGTAAATGTCCTACTTCAGGCCAGGAATGTCTAGTAATAGTGGGAGGAGGAAGGGCACGTCTGTTCTTTATTCTTCTTTACTGAGAATTTGGGGAAACTTCTCATAGCCAGAATCTGTAAAGTCTTTTCCAGGTCGAGGTCTGGCAGAATCATTTAAAATGTGGGCTGATATTTGCAGAAATAGGAGCTTTGTCTCCTATTTTAAACGTCTGTTCTTCTATGTCTTTGTATGTACTCTAGATATTAAGGCAGTGGAAAGATTTTATGAGGCATTGTAAAAGTATTCACATTTTGTCATTTGAAAAAACCTACCAAGGCGTTTCATTTGGTGTTAATGTGAGCGATCTGCAAAAGATTTGCTTAATTGTAGATTAGAAGGAAAAGGAAATTTGACCTCAAAGATTTCAAAGCTATTACAAATAAAAAATCTGCAAACTGTGGTGTGCGTATGCATTCAGTCCCACTAACTCGGCTACATAAATAAAAATTTTTAGTCTATGTAAAGTGATCTTCTATGCAAGAAGAGCATTAATCAGATTAGAAGCAAAAGGAGCCATAGGGACCTCTCAGGGCTGTAGAAAGCCACAGCTTAGATGGAATACTATTGGAACAATATAACAATCTGCTCTTTACAGAGGATATTAGCAAGTACATTTTTCGATCTATTGTTGGAAGCAAGTCAAAAGCAATTCTGTTTGTCATACAGAAGCAGTTGCTCTGTTCAGATCGGTTGTTTGAAGTTTTTAGCCTCTGTGTTAAATGCTAATTTTGGATGGAAATAACAATTTCCTAAAAGACGTTTCAAGGCCCCTATTTCCTCAGCAAAAGCTGAAATAGAATGGCTTAGATCAGGAGTCTGAAGCACCGGACCTAATAATAAAGCATCATCTTCCATTGTTAGCAGTATACTCAGCTCATCCAGGTGTAATCAGTTGCTTATTACATACAGATGCTGTAAGACAGACGGACAGCTCCTCTCTGAATGGCCATCTGCTTCTTACTTTTCATCCAAAGTGACTTAGAACAGAGGATAAGCTGCTGTAACTATTGGTCATGCACACAATATGCAGTCTGTCTCCGCAAATGTTTGTGATTTATGTCGCTGCTTCAGTGCCAGACCTAAAGTGACTTCATAGGAAGTGTGTCTCTGCGTGTGTGTGTGTGTGTATGAGCTATACACAGGTGATGTTTTGCTTTGACCATTCAGCAGCCTGCACAATTTCCATCCTACCTTCTGGCATGAATTCAGTTTGCTTGGAGGTTTAGTTGAAGTGGTGCAAAGATTAGTTTCAATTACAAGTTACAATGTGTAATGGAAAACCAGAAATTACTAGGGCCCATGCAGTCATACCGTACAGTGTCTTGCCATGTGATTCAACAGTACTTTTCCTTCGGACAAGTAGATGTTTAAAGTAGGGTTGTAGGTATCTTGGCAGCTACTTTCAAAACAGAAGCCCAGTAAATATCATGCAGATCATTTGGAAGCATTTAAAAAATATGCACCTGGTCATACCTACAGTATGATGTTTTTCCACGCTTCAATTAATCTCCTCTTTTGAGCTAGATATTTCTTCGTAAGATTATCATAGTCCATGGCATCTTTTCTTTGAGTTTTTAAGTTTAAAGGAATCTTTTTATGGATTTTATTTCAGGGTTGGGATGAGTCTGCAGATTCAGGCTCCCAGAGGCCCCAGCAGCTGCTGCCTCCTTTGCCTCCAGGCTGGGAAGAAAAAGTGGACAACCTCGGACGCACTTACTATGTCAACCACAATAACCGCACTACACAGTGGAAACGGCCTTCCAACGTGTATGTTTGATTGATTTTATATTCAAAGTGTAAAAGGAAACGAATGCAGTTGTCTACTGAGACGTTTTGCCTATTGTTGTATATTGTTGACCCCTCTTACAATTTCTAATACCTCTATCTATGAATCAATGGAATATTTTGACAGTTTCATTGGGTGTATCATCACATAAGTAATTCAAAATGTGAGCGAAGAGTAGTTTAAAATAATGACATGCTTTGAATAAAACTACCGTTGTATTTATTACGTGTGTGCACTTCATAGCTGTTTTTAACCTATTGTTGATCCTCTTTTAACATTTCCTAATAATTTAAAGGGATGTAATCTCGGAAACTGAGAGTGACAACCAGCAGCGGCAAATAAATCAAGAGGCACATCGTGTTTTCCGTTCACGCCGTCACATCAGCGAGGACCTTGAAAATGAGCGGCTGGACTCCAGGGACCTTGACAATGTGAGAGAAAAGCCTGCAGACATGCCCATTAAAATCCATACACCAGAGCTACAGCTATATTGACTGACAAAAAAAATAAAACGTCTTTTCTCATTGTTCCTCCAGTCCTGGGAGCTCATCACCGAAGAGGATCCCAACGACAGCCTTGCCCAGCCTTTGCCAGCCCCCGCCTCCATTTTGACCCCACAGCAGTCCCCAACACCTGCTGCTCAGGAGTTCTCTGAAGATTTAAACCTAAGGCTTTCAATCACCCCTGAAACAAATGGTGAACTGCCAGGACCCAGCTCCTCTCTGGTAACCACCATTCATTTTGTTCTGTCAGAACCTAAATTATGTGACTTAACTCTGATTGTTTTCTTTTTCTCCAGCCAGATGAATTTGCGGGGGATTACTCATTTTTTTGTTCCCACTAACATTATGTCCATCTCCCTCCTTACTTTGAACAGAGCCAGCTGTCAAACAGACTCCGGTCTTCAAGTATGACAGATGGTGTCAGTGATCAGGCCCAGGCTCCTCCTCTAACGGTACATATATGCCACCTTTTACATTCCCTACATCCTTTTTCCTTTAATCCCTCACCTATCCTTGTTTAATAAACTGGTCAAATTTTCCTGATTCACACCTAACTTCACCGGGTGCCCCATCTATTTATCTTTTTCCTATTTTCCCCTTTTTCAGTATCTTTTCATATAGGACAGTTGTGACATCTTCTTTCTTATCTATAAAATTAAATCTCTTTCTGCCTCACTGCACTTTTCTGTTTTTTTAGGGTAACCATACCTCTTCCTACGCATTCTCTGCTGTTCTTTTTATGATTCATATGCACTTGTGTTTGGTCTGCAGTTGAGATCTCAAGTTGGATCTCCTGATAGGTAGAAGGGATTGTTGACAGCAGCACCAATTCAAGTCCTCTTGTGTCACAACATCAGTCACTGCTGAGTTTAACAAATTGTCATACGATCTGAATCAGATGTGGGCAGCAAAGCTGAGTCACAGCGTTTAGTGTTTGCTTTGTCAGGTCAATGAAATAACAGGTGCAGATGTTGCTTTGCTCATGAACTACAAGGTTTATTTAAAGGCTAGGGCACTACAATCAGTGCGGACACATTTATAATATATTTACTAGTTGTACAGTAGTAGTAACTTTTCCAGCTGTTTAGTGATGTTTATTACTGTCCAACTTAAACAGTTTTGGTTCAAGTAATCCTCATTGCTTTACAATTAAGTTGCACCATTCATAACTTGTGGCCTATAGCTGACCTCTAGTTTTGTAATGCGTGACCTCCTGTTTTTAGTTCATTCCAATAGCTGTTTGGGAGCTTAAATATAAATTTGAGAACACTATTGAAAATGCTTTTTTACCTCACTGCCCTGAATGCTTATTAGTTATTTAATGTAGGAGCAGATATGAGAACACGCTGCTGTGTGGTCAGAAGCTTTTTTCTTTTTTAAAACAAAAAGATGACAAAGACTTTTCTCAAACTATCCATATCATTGTACTTCAGCTACTGCTGCAGTTAGCATAGCTAGTTTCTTTGATTGAGCGTTCTTTCTGTGCATTTTGGTAGAAGATGTAGATCCTCACTTTAATAAGATTTGAAGGCTATCAGCAATTTCAAATCCTGCATCTCTCCTGAAAGATGGGGTGAAAGATATACGTGAATCTTCATATTGTCTACTGAAAGTCTTGCTCTCTCTCTCACCCTGCTACAGCTTCTGCTATCTGTTGACATTTCTCAACATCAGCGTTCTTGTAAACCCATGTCAAAGTAACGGGCCGATATGCTGACAGTTGTCACATGGCAACCATCAGATGTCGACTGACATCTGGGCTCTCCTCCTGGGGTTTTTTGGGTATTTCAGGCCAAAATCTAGATATTTGTACCAAAACGGTTGAAGGTGGCTTTAGATAATAAAAAGCTAAACATTAGTTCTCAGGTTGTGGTTCCAAATCTGTTTACAATAGCTTAACAGGATTAAAAATCCTTGATGATTCTTGCAGCTTGCTCAGTCAGTTCACCGTTTGTCAGGAAATGGTCACAGTTGTCGTGGTACAGATACGTCTTCCTTAAATACCACCGTTTTACCCACATTTCCTCTTGATTCTTTTAAAAGCACTAGATATATCTGTTATGCTTTTTGTGAGTGTGCACATCAAATCTCTTCACTGCTCTGATATCTTGTAAACAACACACATTTTCCCTGATTAGTGTGGCTATAGTGTACTTTCATTCCTAGACTTCATTAAATGAACTGCACTGACTCGGAAGGAAATGCACTAATCAGGGAAAATGTGTTCTTGCTTCCAACAGATGAAAAAAGAAAAAACAAACATCACTTTGCTAAACCTCCTTCTGAAAGTACTCTGTTCTATGAATTAGTCACAACACTTTCACGGGCTCTGCACTTGAATGAGTCTCTTTTTCTTCCACTCTTCACCATCCTTTGAGAACCAATTTCCCTTCTTCCTCAACCCAATAAATACCCCTCAATCATGCCCAAATATCTCCCTCCCTCCTTCATTTTCAATCTCCCTGTGGAAAAAAGTATAAACTAAAGGCAATGTTCCCTGTCTACCACCAGCAGGGTTCCCAGACCAGAAGAACAAGAGCTCAAACAGTCTCAGGTGGTGAAGAGCCCATGGTAATATCTCAGTTGTTCAGTTTAACGTATCACTTATACACCTCTTTGTTTCCTAAACTTTGTGCAGGGTAGGATGTTTCTTTCATTACTAGCTTCACATGCAACTTTTAAACAAATATTTTCAGTGCAAAATCCTGACTCTAAGTCCTGTAAAATAAATAAATGAGCACTGCACACCTTCTACCTGAAAGGAGCAGTCTATAAAAGTTCTTCATTGTGTGAGACTACAAAGAGGCCTTTTATCACAGATCTTTCATCTTTGTTGGTTCTGTTTTCCTGATAACGCCATATCATACACTAGAACATTGTTGTCTCTGGTGTAAAGGGGCAATTTCTTTATGATTATAAGATACAAAATTATTACTTTGCTGAAGATAAACAAAAAGGCTCTTTTTGTTATATGTCAATGGTTGATTTTTTTTTTTTTTATTCTTCAGCCATAATGACCACAGGTTAATTTCTTGAATAAGCATTTAAACTTTTTGAAAGGGAAGGGTAGTATGAACCTAACATTTGAATCACCAAGCTTTTTTTCCAGGACTGATGAAATGAATAAATTGTTGTAACATTTTCATAATTCTTCAGTCTTTTCGGCAAAAAGATCTGCCATTTATCCTACTTAGCACCCTAAATGCTAAAAGTAATTTAGAAAAATAAAATCTTCCAAATAAAAAAGGGTCTACTTTTGTCCACCAGTTGCTTTAGTCTACTTTTGCAGCTAAACTGCACACAATAAATGTAGCTGATACTAAATCTTTTAATTTATAGATGTTCTCATTGAAAACTGCAGTAAAAACGGCTTTAAAGTTTGCAAACATAAGTAATTGGAGTTGATCACTTTGTTTTGTTTCAACCATAAACTGCAATTTTTTTTAAAGAAGGGAAAATTATTTTTGGTTTAAAAGACTTTACAGAAAATTATCTGAAAACTGTGGAACACATTTCTGTTTAGGTCCCCTTTGAATAGTTTTGGAGTCTTGTTAAGCTGAATTAATGGCTACAAATGTTTACTAATTTTTTTTTGTATTGGCTTTGTTTGCAAAAACAGCTAAAACGCCGATTCATCTGATAATTAGCCTCTATCGCCGTTGAGTCTTGCCAAAGATTTTTATTTAGGTTTATTTCTGGACTTTGAATTGGTCCTTTTCCCACGTAATTATTCTTTGACCTAAAATATAACTAATTAATTATTGGTATTAGGAAAAAAGAGAGTAAGATTATTTTTATTTGTCAACCAAATTGGAAGGATCTTTTAGTTTCCCTTCTCTTCCTTAGGTGCTACTATTTGTTGGTCTCATTCATTAAAGCCCAGTGAAAACCATTAATGTATGTAATTGTAATGGACCCTAATGCAGAAAAATTGTCATCATGAATATATTTACAAGGTACTTCTTTCATTGTGTTTCTGCAAAATAGTTGATGTTCGTGTTGAGGTTTCACTTGGCCTGTTTTTCCTTTTGTTATATAAACCAGGAGAACAATATCAAATGTGTTTGTCTAACAAATTGTTTAAAATGACCCACTAATTATTTGGAACATTGTTTTCTATCATATGCATTTGACCATTTATCGACATTCCCTGCACACACCTTTGGGTTTTTCAAGCTTCTGCTGATGAGCTGTTTTTGGTTTGCTCTGTCTCCACACTGGATCAGTCCCCCTCGGCAGCTCCCTACGCCTTGACAACCCCCGGTCTGCCCCCTGGATGGGAGGAGAGGAAGGACGCCAAGGGAAGAACTTATTACGTCAATCATAACAACCGCACCACTACTTGGACTAGGCCAATTGTGCAGGTACAGCAGGTCAGAGGGCTGGCGGTCGGGCCAGCTATATGCATGGGACTGGACCTAACCTTTTGTGGCATTAATCTGTGCGTCCCTCTGTCCCCCTCTGTACTTTTCCTCTGTGCGGCACAGGGTTTTAAACCTGGAACCTCCTATTCTGTTGTTCCTTCTGTCCAGTTTGCTGCTTTGGTCAGCTCTGTGTGTCTCCTCATCTCTTGTCCATTTTGAATTGTCTCTCTGCATTGTTCACAGCAGTGGTGGCTGGTGAAAAATATTTTTGGTGGGGCTGATATAGCCTAGTGTATGTCTCCAACTAATCCAGAATAAGAATTCAAATAAACAATTGGAAATTAAATACAATTTAAAAGTAATGATTTAATTTACTATATAATAACAGTAACAGTGATGATTTTGGTCACTGTGACGGGGTTCTTTGGCTTCCAAGAATCCAGGCTCAGTCGGGTTACCGGTGTTGGTGTTTATTGTGCTCAAAAACCTCAATACAGGGTGCAAAAGAAACTAAACATATACAAGATCCTCTGGGCCTCAGCCTCCCTCCAGTTACCAGCAATGTAACAAAGAAACAGAAAACAAAAATGGCCGCTCTTCTTCCCACAGCCCTCATTAAATAGTTTAAGCCCCTCCCCTCAGGCTCTCTTATTTCTGATTTCTTCTCATAAATCAGTTTTGTCCATATATTACCTCCACAAACAATTGATATACAAAAACAAATAATTTTTACAACTTAATTCCTTTACACAGATTCATTGACTTATTCAATTACACCAAACTTTTAAACATAAAATAAAAAAAATATATAATTTGACAAACATTTAGCGAGTCACGTGTTGGTGATGTCACCTTTCGCATTCCAACAACTGTGGCGTTTTAACCGCTTACTGAGCGTTGCCTCGGGTTTGAACCCAGCAAAGACGCCGCCAGACTGAAGATGACAAGTCCCCGTAGCATAAACACGTACACACACACACACACCCACAACCCACACACACGGCTAACCCCACTGAAATATTAAGTGTGCACCCTCAGTACGCCAGCAGGTAACCAGGAACAGCTTGTGTGTTTTAAGTTAATGGAGCTAATGGGCTCAGCGCGAGTGTATTGGTCCTCACAAGCACAGTATAACAGGAATGTGTGTGTGGCACGCAAAGTTAGAGAGGTTGTTTTAAGCGACGAGGTGGATTCGTCACAGTCACAATAACCATGACATGAAATTTTCATATCCTACAACAGGGATGTTCTTCTGGCAAACGGGTAGATAAATAAGGATCTCACTGAATTTGGTGGAAGCTGCATCTCGTTCGTTACATTCGCCATTGTCCCTCTAATTGTCTGCACCTGCGCTTGGGTTCAGAAGCCTGTTAAAGGGCAGTATTTTCAGAGCCCCAAGACCATAAAATTCTGAGACGCTGATTGGCCATTAAATTATTAAATTCACCTAGCAATAGTACATGATTGACAGATTCTCTGCAAATGTGGGTCTGTCTGATCAGCGCCCCAAGACAGAGACGGTAGGAGTCTGTCTGTGGAAATCCACAAATGAATGACAGTAGATAAGGAAATGTAGTTTATATAATTTGCTTTGCTTATAGGTACACACTCTAGAGAGTAAAACTGACATTTATGAGTTAATTTCTAAAAATATATTTTACGTTTCTCTCTTCTTATCAGGGAGGGCGGTGCCCCAGCGCCCCCTATGGGCCGGCCGCCACTGGTTCACAGCTTTCTGAGCCCTAGCAGGGATCTATAACTACCACTGTTTCTTCCTTTTTACCACCTCTACCCTGTTTTTTTCTGTCTGAACTGATGGTATGCTTTTGCTGCTCATATCTGTCTTCTTTAAAATTGAGTTTTTCTATAAAAAAAAACTGAAAACATGTCTTACACATGCTAGTCACCACATTGACATTATGTAAATCTCATTTCTTAATGTTTTTGTTCAGAAAAAGATGATCAAATGTTTGTCCCCATTTTCTCTCTGGAAACTCGATTTTTGCTGTTTGTATATAGCAAGTCGTAAATCATTCTTTCCTCTTGGACCTGAATGACTCTTCCTTTTGAGGTTTTCAGGAACGCATTTCCTGAGTGTAAAGTTGGCATCCAGAATGTTCCACCGCAGACAAGCGTACTTGACCAGATCCCTCATGATTTATTCTGTCAGGCAACATCTCTTCCTTTAATCCCAACCCCACTTAACCTCAGAAGTACCGTTTTCACCAACAGCTGACTGAAGATGGAGCCAGTACCTCAGCAGCAGTAGCATCAGGGGCATCCTCGGCCCTAGTACCAGCTTCCTCCCCTTCCTCATCCTCTTCCAATGCTTTCAACCACCACCTCCATGAGCCTCAAGTCCGACGACCTCGTAGCCTCAGCTCTCCCACTGTCACCCTTTCCACCCCCTTGGAGGTGAGAATTAGAAACCTCTACTACCTTCTGCCCTCTTTTTTTCCTCTTCCTCTCCTCTACCTTCTTTTCTGACCATCCATAGTATCAAAGTCGTTCTCTGTTAGCTGTTCCTGGTTTGGCAGTTTACTTCTTGTTTTTGGCAATCCATTTGGAAATCAACATTTCTCAGTTGCGGTCGCATGGATGATTTTATTTCTTATGCTTCTCTTTTTTGGATTCATAACTTAGAGGGGATAGATGATGGCTGCTGGAGTTTAATGGGTTTTTTTCAAGGTGGTTTTTCTGCAGATGTTTAATTTGTGAGGTGCTAAAAAATGTCACTAAAATGGGTAAAAAATATCCAAGCTTTATTTTAAGTTTATCTGTTTATTTAATTGCTGGGATCTGATGTTAAGCTTGCTGTATTTAACAAGTTTATTGAAGGTACGTATTTTGCACGCCTGTAATTTTTGCTACCTGCTTCATTCAACAATGCAGCATTAGTCGTCTTTCAGCTTTCGACAGGTTGCAGGTTATAGTAGATCTTGGGTTGTTTGGCAACCATCTCTCTGAATTAAACCTTGGTAAGAGCCCTGATGTTACAATAGGGAAAACAGATGCAAAGGATCGTTAAAAATGAAATTCACCTTTAGGTTCAATGTTGAAGAACATATGGTGTTGAGCTAGCAGCTAGATCTAACATAAACAGATCACAGATAATCAAAGTATACAAAAGTTCAAAGTATCGATTATACTGACTCGTTGGAGACTTTCTAAACATAGAAATATATTTGTAGAAAAAGTTATCTCCACATACAGTATTGGGTCACACTACCTGATCTATGACTTTTGTTGGTAAAATCACTTCAAAGGTTGCAATTGTATTAAGTCTGGTGTAAAGAAGCTATACTGACCTGCAGAGTTGTAACCTTATTCTTAAATAATCCCTTCAAGATTAATCAGTGAATGATGCAAATCTGGTTTTCATATCCAACCATAAAAACACATTAAAATCTTGAAAAAGATAACATTAAAATAGCCAAGTATTCTTTCAAACATTCTGGAATTATGGCTTTTTATATTTTTAAAAAGTGTGAGTTTCTGTTACAGCAAAAACAGAATCTAATTTTTAGACTTTTAATAATAAAAAAAAATTAGCAATTTTTCTCTTTCTACATCAAATTAAAGGAAAAAGGAAGAGTTAAAATTTTTAAATTTAGTATCTGTGATAAACTGTTCTTTTCTACACAGTTATTATGGTTGACTCAGCTCACAGGATTTTTTAGGAAGTTGAAAACAAAAACTGAATGTTTGAAGTGACTTGGTTTACGGTTTATAAACAAAGTCGAAGTGTGTTAATAATCAGTCATTCTTCAATTAAGGTATCTCACCTTCCTGTTTTGACATTTTTTTAGTACCTGGATCGTGCAGACGACTTTATAAAGTTGAAAGTTTATTCTTATGCTGCTGAAAGCAATAAATGTTCCTGCAGTTAATTTATTCTGAATATTATAAACTCATTTTGTTTTGAGGAAATAACTATAGAGAGAGCAGAGCTAATTAAAAACAGCACACCTTTTGGCCCGACGCTGCTGTTAACGACTCCACTCACTGGGTGAAAATCATTTGTGGTCGCCGAGGGAACAGACCTGGAAAAAAAAAAAAAAGTTTAATAAAGTGTTTGAACGCATAGTGCTCATGGAGGAAGTAACGGAAAACACACCCTCAGAAATGTGTGTAATTACAGCTTTCAGGCGCATTAATTAATTCAGCTCTTCTTTTTTTGTTGGAAAAAAAAAGTGATTTCTAAAAGCAAATCTCAGACTCCTTTGTTTTGCTTCCTTACATAAATAATGCCCTGTGTTTCAAACTCTATCTTAATCTATTTTAGCATCTTTTTGTTCCCAGTCTCTGCTTTTATTGGTGAATAACTTGTTTTTCACCTTTTCTGCTAGGGGGCCAACAATATCCAGGTGCGGAGGGCTGTTAAAGACACCCTGTCCAATCCTCAGTCTCCTCAGCTATCGCCTTACAGCTCCCCAAAAACACAACACAAGACCCAGCAGAGCTTCCTGCCCCCTGGCTGGGAGATGAGGATAGCCCCAAATGGACGGCCTTTTTTCATCGACCACAACAGCAGAACCACCACCTGGGTGAGATAACACACTGCATCTACTGCTGATGTAATATCCAGAAATCTGGAACTTAGAAAGATCTAGGGCAGATTCTAGCTTTGTACATATTGACATCTAGTGGTTTAAAAGTGAACTGCAATATGACTGCTTCATTAGAACTAAGGTTTGCCTGACAGTTATCAGCAATCACTAGAATAATGGATAGCTTTGATAAAGAAATGGGCTGCCTAGTTATGCAGCGGGTAGCACTGTTGCCTTGCAGCATGAAGGTTGTGCAATTCCCAGCCTGGGGTCTTTCTACATGGAGTTTGCATGTTCTCCCAAAGCATGCATGGGTTCGCTACGGGTACTCCGGCCTCCCACAGTCCAAAATCATGACTATTAGGTTATTTGGCTTCTCTAAATCCCCCTTAGGTGTGAGTGTGTGTGTGAATGGTTGTTTGTCCTGTTTGTCTCTGTTGCCCTGCTATAGACTGGCAACCTGTCCAGGGTGTACCCTGCCTCCCGCCCATTGACAGCTGGAGATAGGCACCAGCACCCCTCGCAACCCCAGGAGGGATAAGAGTGAAAGTGGAAAAATGGATGAATGGATGGATGAAAAATAAACATTTATTTAAAAACTGGCAAATATATACTAATAATGTTTCCTCTTTATTGATCTGTTCTCTGCTAGGAGGACCCCAGGTTGAAATATCCAGTCCATATGAGGAGTAAGAACTCGATGGAACCTGGTGAACTTGGTCCTCTCCCTGTAAGTTTCTGTCAAATGTTAAAGAATCTCTCAATTATACACATAACTGCCTCACTTGCAGCTTCCTCTTTGTTTATTGGCACCCCTGGTGAAGAACAGCCTTCACATAAAATTCATCGTATATTTAAGAAGCATAATCTCACTAGAGCTGCAACTAAAGATTGTTTTTCAAATCGAGTAATCTGTCGATGATTTTTTCGATTAATTATCGGATAGCAAAAAAGTTCCTCAAAGAAGACTTTTACAAAATTAAAACGGGTGAAACTAAAACATTTCCACTTGAGATCTGGATAGAGCAGACTGACAGACGAAAAACTTTTATCTTAAATGCAAAATGTTTACATATTTTCTTTTACAATTTTGGTTTAATTGCTGCTCAAGCTGGCTTCCTGTCAGCTAAAGGAATATTTTAGAGTCTCTCTATCCCAGTTAATGATCAGTCAAAATTAGTTGACGATTATTTCAATAATCGATTATCACGATTTATCCGATTAATATTCTCAGCCTTAAATCTCCCAAAACGTCTCAGATATAAACATTATTTCTACCACCTCCACTCCTCATCCCTTCACATTAACATGCAACTCAGTTTTAGCACTTAGTTATTTTCCTGAGCATTTTTAAAGATCGGGCTATAAAGGGAAGCTGGTTAGTCTTATACGGTATAGTGGTCGCGGTGTGGGGCTGAGTGAGCAGCCTAGATGCGTTTCAATCTGAAATTTAGGGATTCAATTCCAGTATTATCCTTCATTTCAGTTGTTTTGCATGTTTTAGCTGGTGCCCAATTAGGTTTCAATAATTAAAGATGTTTTCTTTTTTTTTTTCAAGTACTGTATTTAGAGCAAAGAAACATTGAAATAATTATTAATCTTTAATTCTTTTTTTTTTTCAAATGGATCATGATTAGATGCTGTTTTTGTTTAGATGCTCCTGCTGCTATAAAGGTGTTTTATTTAGAATCTTATTACACATTTTTCCCCAGAGGTGCCAATAGTTCTGAAGGGTGCTTAAAAGAAAGATTATTAGATAATTATTAATAAAGCTTTGTTTTTCTTTTCTCGGGTTTTCCATTTTTAGACACCTTTGAATGTTTTTCTTTTGCTTTCCTGGTCCAAGTTTAAGCTGGCTTACAACAAAACACCTTATTTTGAAGGATTTCTGTGTGGTTGGAGTTAAATTATTGATTGGTGCTCTGCTTTCATCTACTAGTCTTCTTCGCTCTGCTAAAACTCATTAACAGATTTATGCATAAACATGCACTTAGAATCAGTAACCTGCGGTAGCAGTGTTGCCTAGAAACCCTGCTGTTTTAATGATGGTCAAGCTTAGCAATGTTCATTTGGGTTGATGGGCCAACATTTAGTTAGGGATACTGATGTTACTAAGTGAAAACTTTGTTTATCTCACAGGTTTGTGTGATGTGTGTGCATGTGTGTGTGTTCTTTCTCTTTCCTTTCTCTCTTTTTTCTTTCATTCTGATGGATCTAATGTTTGCTACTTCTTCTGCACCCGGCCATATCTGTTTGGCAGAACCTACCAGAGGAGGTTGGTTGGCGCCTCCCTTCCTCTGCCTGCCTACCGACCCTCCTGTCTGATAAATCGCCTGCAGACAGCCTTGCAGATATTCTTTATTTTTCCCTGGTTCTTTCTCTTTTTTTTCCTCTCTTGTGGTCAGCATGGATGGATTGTGCCTCTCCTATCCTTTCAGTATTTTTCCCACTTCGTCTTTCCGTCAGCACCATTACTACACCGCCACTACACCTTTTTTTTTTTTTTTTTTTAAACAATTGGTTTGTAGCTCCAAAAAATAGATGTTATAAGGGATTCTTTAGCCTGCTCCATGTTTGTTTTCCTGCATTGGCATCCAAGATGCAATTACACACGTCTGTAAAGCAAAATAAGCAAAGGTCTGGAAAAAATGTTGACAGAGAAGCTAACTGAAGGAAGAAAAGAAGTGAAAAAAGGCAAAAGCTTTCCAGAGCAGCAGAGGAAGGAAAAGGCTGTATGCAGCATGTGTTAATAGCTCCTGTATGCCCCCCTCACTCATCTAGCAGCAGCATTATTTTAAAACACACAACCATACATCCTGCAACAGCGACTCAGTTCCTTCCTCCTATCATTGCTTTGAATCTACTGTAACTGTTTGACTGCCTGATGGCTGGTGTGTGGCCTGGGACACCGTGCACCAAGTGCTTACTGCCTTAGTGGTGGCACGCTGGCTTGTACCAGTGGCGACGGTTTGAATTTCTGTTGTGGTCATCCCCCTGCGCCACCTTGCTGATGCGTTTAGACTCAAATAGGGCAGGGAATCCTTTTATTTCTCTTGCTGTGTCTGATTGAGCTTGCCTCACCTGCAGTGCTGTGATCTCAGTGTTTTAATCTTTTCATGATATGGCCAGCTCAATTTGAACAACAACCAAGAAGGAAAAATAAATGGATGGATAAAAAAAATGACTATTTGAGCTTTTGTTATGTTGTCTGATGTTTTCCTACCTCATGTTTCTTTTTCACTCCTCTTCCAGCCTGGATGGGAGGAAAGGGTTCACACAGATGGACGCACTTTCTACATTGACCACAGTAAGGTTACACCACTCTCTTCACTGCTTTATTGCGTATATTCACGCTGTATCTGAGGTACATTTTAAAAACATTAAAAACTTTGACAATAATACTTCTGTTTATCAGCAAGTTTTAGATTTATTTATTTTTTTGTGTGTGCAGCATTCACTTCCAATGCCTCCAATGCCTTTCACCCTATTAAATATAGGCCTCCCAGTTGTATTTCTTTCAGATGATCCCTAAATAGAACTCTGTTCCACCATTTTAAATATATAATTAATGTATTTCAATTATATAAGTAATATTTTCTCTTGATATGGGCTGGTAAGGAAGACAACTGGAATAAGATGATTTACGTAAAAAAAAAAAGAAAAAAAACTGTTATTGTTTTTTTTAAGGATATAATATTGATCTTATTTTAAGGGCAAAATATTAATTTCATTGGTACATTATTGGTGTTAAAAATTTTTTTATCTTCATTTTTTTTTTAAATCTTATTTTAGATCAGTTGTTGCTGGGTGAAAAGCTCAGAGATTTTTTTTTGAAGACATTAAACAACAAAAACAAAATACAACAAATACCAAAAGCTCTAATACTGCAGCTCCTCTTGAACACCAAATACCCAAAAAGAGACAAGGTGGTGACAACATCAGGATGTTGGATTGTTTTTTTCTTTTTAGTTGTTCAAGGGGTTTCAAAGCACCTGCAAGGCACATTAAAAGCATCTCTTAGAATGTATTTTTTTGTCAGTGCCTTGAGTCTTAAACAACACTAAAAATGTTCTGCCTATTTTACCCAGATACGAAGACCACGCAGTGGGAGGACCCTCGTTTACAGAGCCCAGCGATCACAGGGCCTGTGAGTAGCTTTGCATCTTCCTTATCTTGCTTATAGGTCACAACATTGTCAGGAAAAACTGCAAAGCAGTTTCATATGACGTGCACTTTTCTCAGCCTCATCAAAAATGAACCACTTTCTAACTGCAGTTGTTATTTAATATAAAAATACAATTGTCTTCAGAATAAAATCTTTTTAAATTATTATTTAATGTTTAGGCTGATGTCAAGCACAAACACCTGTTTGTTCTCTTTGCAGGCTGTTCCTTACTCTAGAGAGTTCAAGCAGAAATATGACTATTTCAGGAAGAAATTAAAGAAACCGGTAAGAAAAAATGATCTACATTGGGAACGAAACTCTGTGACTTCTCCTAGCGTAGGAAGCAGCTCTAATAGGAATGGATTGGCTTCCATTACTAAGGTTTAAAGATGGTATCAAGTTTAAAGAAATACACAGTTCATACAATGGAAACCTCTTTAAACAAGGAGCCAGAGGAACCATGCTGGCTGAGAGCCTGCTACTTTCCATTGCGTACAAGAAATACCCTTTTAATTATGGTTGGTCCATTTTATGTAAATAGCAAGAGATAATTGTTATAAATCACATTATTAAATGTAATAATCAGTGTTATTGTATGTATTGTAATGTTTTGTGGGGGAAACAAAAATTTCTGTTGCAGACCATCATATAATTTATTTTAAAAAATAGGAATTTTGTTTAGAACATTTTATAATTCTAAGCAGCTAGTGGTTTATTTGATTAAAAATATTAAAAGTATAGCTGTTTTTTTCTATATTGCCATTTTCTTATTCAGCACTCTTCACCTACTTCTTTATTGGCCTATTAGTATATTTTAGATAATTAGAACCCTTTTAAATTGATGCTTGTGTCAAAAATGTATTTATTTTTTTCTCTAAAGCATTTGTTTGTTGTACAAACATCTTCTCCCTTCTGTACTAGGCGGATATCCCTAACCGATTTGAGATGAAGCTACACAGGAACAACATCTTTGAAGAGTCCTACCGTCGGATCATGTCCCTGAAGAGGCCCGATGTTCTAAAAGCACGATTATGGATCGAGTTTGAATCGGAGAAAGGATTGGACTATGGTGGCGTAGCCAGGGAGTGGTTCTTCCTCCTGTCTAAGGAAATGTTCAATCCGTATTACGGCCTGTTCGAGTACTCTGCCACGTAAGCCTTTTCTTATTCTATAGAGGACACTCAAGTCCTTGTAACACCTCAGTACACAGAGTTTTGTCAAATTTAAATAGCAGCATGATGCGGTTGAAAATAACCTCTTATCCTTGTGTGTTGGAGACAAGGTGTACCAGTTTTCCCTGCTGTTCTCTTTTTTTCCCCCCGTGAGACCTGTAAAGGCTTCCTTCTACTGTGATTAACTTTTCCTCGTATTCAAAAAGCCATCCTGAGGCAATGTTTCCCACAAACATGATAATAAAAGTGCCATATGCTATGTTCTTTTCTGGGCACCATCATCATCATCATCATGCAATGACGCAACTCTGCCTTGTAAAATAACAAAGAGGCCGTAAAAACCAACTGTTCTTAGAAAACGAGTATAATAATTAAAGTTCAGACTTTTAATGAAAAAGCTTTTTAGTAGCTTATCAAATTGAAATTAATGTTTAAATTTGAACTTCATCTCAGGGTAGCAGTTTAAAAGCATTGATTGATGTTTTACTTTAATTTAATATTTTTTTATTGGATGAATCCAGGAATTTGTCTCCTTTTAAACAGTGAGAGTTTTATATAGAACATAGTCAGGGTTTAAAAAAAAAAGACGTATCTAAACATGTACTTGTTGCTTTGCACTTCTCTCCTGTCTTTATTCAGGGACAACTACACTCTCCAGATCAATCCAAACTCTGGCCTCTGCAACGAGGATCATCTTTCCTATTTCAAGTTCATCGGTCGTGTTGCAGGAATGGCCGTGTTTCATGGAAAACTGCTGGATGGTAAAATATTTCATTCTACAGTTTCTCTAGTACATAATGTCCCTCACCAAGACTTTATTTCAACTTCACAAAAGAAACTTATAAATAATGAGGAAATTGGCACCACTGAGTCCCAGTTTGATACCTTATTGTAATTAATATTGGGTCATATTAAATTGTTTTGAACTTTAAATAATAGCCTTGCCTGCCCGTGTTTTCATTCAGAGGAACCAGCGAAATGTTACTTTATCCCCTATTTCTTTTCTTCCTCTATGCTTTATAAAATCTTAGGCAGCCCTAATGTGACATTGTGAATAAATATCTTCTGATTTTCGTCATATTGCTCATAAGCCAGAGAGCCAGTACACCCTGAAACCAGCTTTTATAACCAGTTTAGATAAATTAAACCCAGCCTGATGCTTTCAAGTCCCTGTTTCTGTTAATTATATATATTTTTTGCATCCAGCAAATAACTCAATTAGAAGTTGTAATAACATCAGACCAATCCTAAATTAATTTTAATATAGATATTTAGTCTTAATGAAAAAAGCTCAATCTTTTGGTACACATATTCTTATTTTACTTTATATGCACTTAAAAACATTATTTTATTGGTATTACACTAACCCAAAAATGGCTTTGAGGACATTGGATTCTCTGTTATTCATGATTACCATTTATACTTTGTCTTGACTGTGGCTCCTGCAGACCAGGCATGGAATTCTGCTCCACCATAGCGTTTAAAATCTCCTGTTATGATCTTAAGAACAGTATGGTGTTGTGCTAAGCTAATCTTAGCATGTCAACTTGTTTTGTTTCTAACAAACATGCCAAAAGTATTTAGCCACCGATCTAAATCATTTGATTTAGATGTTCCAGTAATTTCCATGGTCAAAGTTAAACAGGCCTTTTCTACAAACATCTGTAAAAGAGATGGGTCGTGCTCAGGAGGTCAGTGAATTCCAATTATTTTTTTTCTCTACTAAATATTCTCTGAGCTATATTTTAGCTCAGTAGAAATAACAGCGATTGACAGCAACTCAGCCATAATATTGCAGGCCACATAAAATCATAGAGCTGCATCAGAGGATGCTGAATGATCTGTAAAGTGCACATCTGCAAACTCTAGAGGTGGAAAACTGTTCTCAGGATTGACCACTTTGGTCCATTTCGGGCAGATAATAAGATTATTGAAGGCAGTTGGGCTCCCCTGTCTCAGCTCCATTGAATCTGCTCTGAATATTTCAGTAAATTAAGAAAATGTAAGCTATTTCATTCTCCAAACATTGTTGGAAATGTTTGAATTTAACACCTTCCAGTTTCAGTGTCAAATATTAGTAAGCAATCTGGTGTGCAAGGACTTGACTGACCTGAACAGAGTCCTGACCTGAGCCTGAGACAAGGTCTCTGGAATTAGATAGAATTGAGAAATCATCAACTAAACTCACAAAGAAGCTTCTTGGAAGAATGGTCAGCAGCGCCCATAAACACCTATGATGGCAATCCTTCTAAGAGTTTAAGCTACAATAAGGGCATGGAAAAATGTTATGAAACTCTTTAGAATAGGAATCAGATGTTACTCAGGTTTATGATATGCAGAAGACTGATGCTTTAGGAAGTAAAGTGCATTTTAATGTTTGGACAAATAATGTGAAAAATTTAGAAACAAAAAATATCAAAAGGATTTAACAACCGATATCATAGCTTTTAATTCCGTCAACTTTTAATGAGTGGTGTTTCAGCCCCTTTCTATAAAATAATATGCATGGCCTGTATTACTGTTTTAGATGCTGTGCAGATGAAGATTTGATTAAAAAACTATTTAGAGTCCTGGGGGGTAAACTGGCGAACAGATTTAAGGAGGTGTTTTTTTTCTCAGGGACTGATTATCTCATGCTTTCATCATGCGTGTTAGTGCAGCATGAGAAACCTTTTGGCCCTGTGATCATAGTTGCTTTTGAGACTTTTTCTCCACACGTGCTGTTGTTAAGTATGGCATTGTCATTTTTCATTGCAGGCTTTTTCATCCGTCCTTTTTATAAGATGATGCTGGGGAAACAGATATCACTTAAAGACATGGAGTCTGTGGTAAGGCCCCCTTCCTTTATAGGAGCTAATTAAAAGAACAACATAACTACTACACTGTGATAAAGATTCATGCTAAATAAATACTTTTTTGTTTAATTAATGCTAGATTTAATTTCTTTAGCATACTGTTAAGGGTCATATCAGTTTAGTTAGATTAAGAACTGATATGATGGTTTCTATTCTCATCATTACTGCAAATCGGACACTTCCATCCATTTATTGCATTCAAGAAAAATATTTATTATTTCTTCTAAATGATTCTATATTTATCATAAAGCTTGGGGAAAATTTTCTCTGAGTCGATTAATAAAATTTGGTTTAAAACCGAACACATTTGTTGTATCTCTGCAGGACAGTGAGTACTATAACTCTCTAAAATGGATTCTGGAAAATGATCCCACCGAGCTTGACCTGAGGTTCTGTATCGACGAGGACAACTTTGGACAGGTGAGCCGACTTCAAAGCAGCATTTTTTAGCCTATATATTTGTAATTAACAAGGGTTGCTGCACATTTTTAAATGTTTCTGTGTTTTTCCTCAGACGTACCAGGTTGACCTGAAGCCCAGCGGATCAGACATGGTGGTCACCAATGAGAACAAGAAGGAATACATTGAGTGAGCACTCCCCTCATTCCCCTCACCTTGATTCTTTATTTATTTCAAAACATCAGCATGTAAGGTAATTTTTTGCAGCATTTCATTTTCTAACACATTTTTTCTTTCTACCAGCTTGGTCATCCAGTGGAGGTTTGTCAACCGGGTCCAGAAACAGATGAACGCCTTCTTGGAGGTATTTGTGTGCAGTGATTGTGAATCTCCACATGGGGGGAGTGTGGCTATAATGTTCTAGTTTTGAACATGATATAAACTGTAGCAGTATTTTTGCTTTTTTAGCTTATGGAGATATTTTTTTTATGTCTTATAAATATGTTTTTTTTTTTACTTTTTCAGGGATTCACTGAACTCATTCCAATAGATTTGATCAAGATCTTTGATGAAAATGAACTTGAGGTATGGAAACCTGCCTGCTTATCGGAAAATTATCCCATAGAATGGTCAGCTGTGACTGTAAAAAAGATAACAATGGAGGTTTTAATTTTTAATTTCACAATTTTCTTGCATGTTTAAATGTTTTATTTTTTTATTTAATGGAATAACACCCTAATCATTATCTCTGATTTATGGTCAAGCTTTAGCCTAACATACTTAGTGGAAATGTGTTTCTGCCTCTGAACTTATGTTTTTCTTCTTCCCCCTGCGCCTGTGAAGCTGCTCATGTGCGGCCTGGGCGATGTCGACGTTAATGACTGGAGGCAGCACACGGTTTACAAGAATGGCTACTGTCCCAACCATCCGGTTATACAGTGGTTCTGGAAGGTTTGTTGGTCAGCCACAAATGAACACAACATCTCATATCAAGACTGCAATAAGAAAAGGGAAAACAACACTATTTGAAATATGGGTGAAATGGCAATTAGATTAGATGACTGTCGTATTTGAAAGCATATGTAGGGTATCAGGCTAAAAGGCTCAAATTTATTTCCCACTGGTCAGAAGTAGATCAATGTCCTTTTTTATTCATTTATTTATTATTTTTTATTTAAATTGCATGATTTTCATTAGGTTCTCAAACCAAATCTTTTTCAAACCATTTCTTAAGTATATTTATTCATCATATTTCACAACTGTTGAAGTTTTTTTTTTTGCTTTTAAACATTATTTGCTCATAACAATTAATTATCTGTTTATTTCCATCCTTTAACATCAAAGGCTAGCCATTGTTTGCCCAGTTAGCCCTGACCTATTAAGTAAGGCCCTGGTTTTTGCCATAGGTATGCCGTTTACACAATTTACAGAAATTTTTTTTAATTTACTGTGACTTAGACCACAGCCATTTAACCTACTGAAATGATGGGTGCTGAACCCTACATATGAGCTCTAATCCTGCACTTAGGTGAATAAAAATGGCCTATTTTATTTTTTTCTCCCTCAGTATCAAAATCTTTTTTCTTAAATATCTTAGTGTACTTGCACTCAGTGGCCCTGCTTTGTTGCAATGGTTGACATCCTGGATGGCTATAGAAATGAAGCTGGTACCAGATATGTCCCCGTGCGTTCAGCCTGCAAGATCAAAGTCTGTGATAAAGAACACTGTTGTTTGCTCTGATGAAAGAGTCTCTAGTGTTGCATGCTCCACATATTATCTTAACTTGAGCGCTAACAGACTCACACACATCAAACACACTTCTGTTTGAATTTGCACTGTTGCGCTTTGGTTTTTCTGAGGACACTTTGACATCATGTGTATCCTAATCCTTGACTATCAAAACCAAATGAAGTTGACCCCTAAGCAACCTTAAATGTTCACTTTCACATAGAAACGATAAACCTAAACCTTAAGAAATCCTTTCTAGACTTTAATGAATTTATTTCATTGAGTATTTAATGCACTAATAATTTAATCAGAAAAATGTGAACGACTAAAGGAGTTTTTGTGTCTTTCTTTTTAAGGTTGTCCTGTTGATGGACGCTGAGAAGAGAATCCGACTCCTCCAGTTTGTGACGGGGACATCACGAGTGCCGATGAATGGCTTCGCTGAACTCTACGGTAATGTTTCCATCTCAGACCTTCCTTCTTGTTAGCATTCAGATCTCTGTGTTTACAGCAGGGATTCACCGACACCTGATTTCTTTAAACCTGTACAACTATTTACATTTCAGTACTTGGTGATACCAAATACCCATACAGGTTCTAAATAAAAGCTTAGTTATAATAAGGAGTTGTGATCATATTTTCTGAAATGCTTAGTAGGCAAAGACAGACTTTTACCTTCAGTCGAGTACAGCTGAGATGCAGTAGAGGGAGCTTTCTTCCACATCAGAGAAAAGCATCTTGACTACAGCAGCTAAGGTTGACTCAGGGTTTGGATTACATGATAAAACATAAAGTGGTATCAGGTTGTTTTTACAAGTATAAGTCCAAGTACTTGAGGGTATCAATATCATTGCCCTCCTAATCCACAGAAATATATTCCTGTTTGTAATTGCTCTCACTGCATAAACATGATTTACCACAGTATTAATTAAAGAAAGGATGAAACGATGTTACATTTTTATAAAATGTTGTTGTCGATGAATATTTGGTTTAACTTTAATGGTAAAAAAAATCACAGTTAACTCATTTTATTTCAACATTCAGCAGCTTTTTAGATTCATACACAACATAATAAATTTATATGAACGTAACATTTTGATCCCTGATTTAAAACGCAATGGCCCATGTTATAATAACTTTAAAGACAGCTGAAGGTTAAGTTATGAACTATAAGATGGTCCATGTTATTAAATGAATTGTATAACAAACTAAAATGACTACACATCTGAAAATGATCCACTAACTTTTTCAGTCTTTCGCCATGCTCTTTGGATTCCCTGCTGTTAGCTTAGCCAAGCACAGGAAAGAAATGTGTGTCCTCTAAGAGCAAAACTCATTAACAACACAATGACCGGCGCTTAAAATCGGGGGTCTTTATATTGACCGGCTGGTCGCAGATCACGTGAAAATGGTCCTATTTCTGAGCACTGTCCATTGAGTGGCACAAGTCTATTTAGAACTTTATATTTTTTCACATTGCTTTAACTGGCTATAAGATAGCTTTGAAGCTGAAAAATAATGCTTTTCAAGCAATTTACCAAAGGTTACAAATATTTTACATAGAATTAAACTGCGGTCCTTCTGTTCTTAAAAAACAAACAAAAAACAGCACAAGATAATTCCAGGATTTCTGTGTGGAAGAAAACTCTAAACTATACAAGTGAATTCAGAATAACAAAGAGAGTAAACAGCAACATGTGGGCAGCAAGCTGTCAGTCAGTGTTGATGATGGTGAAATGATGAGAGAAGCTTCTTTTGATTAGAGCTGCTTCTAATCGATGTTGTATTTGTTTCTGCACATGTTGAGAAAATCATAGGGACATTTAGCCTTTACATTCAGTTAGCATTTTTCTCTCCTAATGCAGACACTCAGTTAGTGGCTCTGCACCATCATCTCTCCTCACTTGGTTCAAGACATGCTTAACTAGCCCACATTTTGACTAATCAGCGTCATGTGTGCATATCACAGCTCTCTGCTGTAAAAAAACTCCCTGCAGCAGAGAGTGCGCTTAGGAAAACTCGCTTTTATTGATCGAATTGTTGTAATGCACTGCCTTATATTGCAAGTGGCAGAATGGCATTACCAATATGTTAAAAGTAATCAATTAGATCAGTGATTCCCAGTGTGAGGTTACCCCTAGTGGTCCGCGAGTGCATTGCAAGGGGTACATGAAAATATTTTATTTCTTAGGTGGTGAAATAAAATAAGGCTGGGATCTGTTCTGCTTTGTTAGGAGCTATTCGAAAAAATTAAACAAGCTTTTATCAACCAAAATGTAAGTTTTTCTTATATGTTTGAATTCACCTTCAGCTTCAAAACCAAGCAGAGGAACAGACTGATAGTGAAGAACAGCCTGGTATCAGATGTTTTTCCTACTGAGTTATCGTACCTCCGCAAAGCAGCTCAGTAATTAAGTCAGTTTGACTATAATTTTTGTTTAGTATTTTGTTTCCAATTCTTCAAGTTTAAATTTACTTATAAGGGAGTTACTTAGAGGAGCTCCAGTTTTATAAATAGAGGTTCATAATATGATTATGTTTTGTATACATTTCAATTCCTTACTTATTTTTAGGCAGCATATTTATATTGTTGTTTATTTTTTTTTGTTATATTGAAAGAACAATGATCAGAATTAAATGCTCAAATTAAAAGATTAGGTAAATAAGTTTTTACTTTACACTCATTTATAGTACGTTCCACTGCTGGACAATAAACAATACTTTTGAATGAGATGGGCACTCATGGTAAGACAAAATGCTCAGAGTTTTACACAAGTCCAAAAAGGTTGGGGGGAAATCTGAGTTAGATTACTTTTTCAATGAAAAACCAACGTAGTTACTAATGCAAAGCCATTTAATAAGACTATCAATGTTTTACTTAACATTTTCTTAAACTTAACAAAGTTTTGAAATAAAGTTCTATTTTTTTTAAGATCAAAAAAGCAGATGTCAACCAGAAGCAACTAATGTAAAACTCTGTTCATTTATCTCCACTTTAACTTGAGTTTCACGTCTAATGTGATGTATTTTGCTAGCTAAGCATCTCCATGCTATCGACGACTGTTTTCTTTGGTTTTAGGTTCTAATGGCCCTCAGCTGTTTACGATTGAGCAGTGGGGAACACCAGAGAAGTTGCCAAGAGCTCACACATGGTACTCCACCTCTCTGTTTGAAGAAGCATCCAGCTGCTATTTCATGTCCTGTTTCTCCAACTTTGCTTCTCCTTTTTTTTTTTTTTTTCCTCAGTTTTAACCGCTTGGATCTGCCCAGTTATGAATCCTTCGAGGACCTGAGAGAGAAACTCCTCATGGCGGTGGAGAACGCTCAAGGCTTCGAGGGAGTCGACTAAAGCACCCCCTACTGACTGAATCCAACAATACCAAGAAAAAAAGTCCATCGGAATCCACAGGGACGTGAAACCAGTTGCTGTAGCAGTTTTTGTGCGAGCATGTTGTATCGTAATGCCTGACTGTGAGCCGTCACCACTGCCTGGTGGATTTTAAAGACTGTACAGCAACTTGTCTAGCCAATATGCCCACGTTTTTCTGTCTTTTCAGTGCAGGGCGGTTCACTCCTTTAATGTGCTGGGGAGAGAAAAGGGAGCATTGCACTGCCTCAGTTCTGAAATGTCTGATCTGCAGACATAAGCAGCAAACAACCAGAGCTGGAAACCCCAAATCCACCATTTCTCTCCCTCATCCCCCATCCTGTGAAAATCTGCAGTGCTGGAAAATAACCGTGCATTTCAACAGCTTCACTATAGCAAAGAGTTCGAGCCCCTTTCAGTGGAGAGCTCCATGCATGGCCTTAATCTGGCTCCTACATGCACTATTACTCCTAAGAAGCTGCAACGGCACTAAGAGCTTAGATCTTATTCAAATCTTAAAGCAACACCAGGTAACCTTAGGAACTCTAGCCAATCATATTTCAGGAAATCAGACACACCCCTCCGTAGAGCCTTGTCTGGGTCATGTGATCAGATAGCGCTGCTGCAGCCTTTACAGAATAAAAATCTTTTTTTTTTTTTTCAAAAACTAAAACGATTAAAAAAGAGTTTAACCTTGTTATTATTTCCCTTTTCTTTAATATATAAATAACCTAGTGGTCATGCAACAAAATTTCTTTTTTATTAATCCTTTGTATAACTGACAGAATAACATGTTGTGTATTTGTACTGATGAAACAACGTTCTTTAATATTTCAACAGCCGCATACAACATGCCGGTTGAAGTTCAGATTCGGGGCGAGCAGAATCCATGTTTGTTACGCTGATAGCAAATGTTTAAAACAATGTTTTTACTGTAGTGCTTTAAAAGCAGCATGAAACTGTGCATTGTGTTTGCTTTTGACTGCATACTAACTTGGAAGTGGAATCGCCCTCGAGGTCATGAAGGGAAAAGTCAAATTGTGGCAAGTTTCTGTGATTATTGCTCCCCATGCCTGTTGCTGTTCATAATGCTGTAAAAAAAAAAAGTTTGTTTTAAGCTCTTTCACTAGATATAAATATATGTATGTATTACACTTAACAGAAGTATTACTGATCAACACTAAAATGAAGCCGTGAGTGAGTGAATGTTGGAGTGAAAAGCTGTGATTACCGCTGAATATAAAGCAGCATGTTTCTTACAAAGAAACACAAATATCGCTCTTTTGTTGTTTTTCTTCCCATCTCCCGTTTTTCTAACACAACTGAACCTAAAGGGCACTTTATAGATAACTCCGAGGTCATGTCGCCTGATATGTCTTTTCATTTACTTGAATGTGGTTCTTTCCTTTCAGAGCACTTACTGGTGCAATATAAATACTCTGTAAATCTGGGCTGCTGCTATGGTAGAAACAGAAGTGAAGATGACACTTCATATTCTAAAGTCCATATCTTGATTTAAGCTTTTTCTTGATATTTTCGTCTTGTATGTTTCTTAACCCCTTGATCTCTCAACTCTGATCCGTTTTTGTTCTTGTTTGTTTTTTAAATCGGGTTTTTCTTTTTTAATGGATAATGAGAAATATAATTTTTTTGTTAATGGTTCCACTACTTTCTGCAACTCTTTGTGGTTCATTTAACTTTAAAATAAAATGACACTTCTTACACGTCTGGTTTTGGTTAATTACGGCATCCTCTTCCACAAGAACAACAGGTGATTCATCCAGGAGCTCCAGAAAGTAACATTTGAAGAACCACAGGCCTCCTCTGCTTCAATTGACATGTTTTGTGAATTGGCGCTATATAAATAAACTGAATTTAATTGAGTTTAGGTCGCTGTTCACAATGGAAGAAATGAGGGGTTTGCAAAATAAAATCCTTGTTGACCAAAATCATCACAAAGAATAATCTTGAGTTTCTGAAAAAAAAAAATATATATATCACTAAGAGATCCCAGAGTATCAGGGTAAAAAATCTGTGTACTGAAGAGAAGAAAATTACATTTTTGTTGGTATGCATTCTGATGGCATTCCTCCCACGTTTAAGAAATAAAATGTCATAGCAACACCTAAAATGGTGGCGGTAGGAGGATGATCTGGGACTGCTTCAGCACCTTGATTTGGCTGACATGTCCGTCACCTCTGCTTTCTACCAGAACCTTCTAAAGAAAAAGATCCTTCAACTGAGTTTGCAGCGAGAAAGTATTTAAGGCAAACCAGGAAATCTAAAAGGTAAACATTTTGTCGTAGTCTAGTCAAAGTCTGAAATTTAATCCAATTGATGTTTGTGCCATGGGCTTACACAGATGTCCAACAATGCTCCAACATGGCTAAAACTGAAATTGAGAGGCCTCCACAGAAATAGAAAATACCGTTTCCCAGTGAATACTTTTTATAATCACCTTTATTTCTAATTGCATTCGTACAAAGAGCAAGATTTGTCAATTTATCCATCCCTTATTTAACAGCTTGCATTAAGAGGTGTTAAATATGGAGTTAAAAGTTCTGCAAAAAACAGATCATATCAGAGAGAGGTAACTCCCAGCGATCTGCATGTTTTTATAGTTCTGTGGAGACTTCTGTACTGTGTAATGGTTTGGTCACAGAATAAATTATCTCTTTATTTCACTGCAAATTGTTGACAGCTATTCCTTCCAAGGATGGCATAAGAAGGAAGTTAGATCAGAGGCAACTATTTATAACAAAGGGACAGAAAAACATAAATTTTTTACACTGTAAATGAACTGTTTTGAGCACTTTTTTTGTATTTACGCAGGTTAATGTTCATCTGCTATTAACATTCATTTGATGATCTGAAATACTGAAGATTTCTGCAAGTTGACCCTTTTGTTGTATAACCATTGCAGATGCCCAAATAGGTCAAATAAATGATTAATAGTTCCAAATTTAGCTTTATTTATGCCCCAGAGGAGTGTTTGCAACTGACTCCTAATCTATCTACATTCAGCCATTGCTCAATTAATAGGTTTAGAATATATACTATTTTAATTAATCAATGAATAATGCTGACATTTTTCATTAAAAATACCAGCATAGTGTAAGAAGATTAATAAATACATGTGGGGAAAAAACAGCAACAGACATATTTAATTGTTTTTTAATTGGAATCAGTTATCCAGCTATACATTTAGGAAACTATTTTAATAAAATTGTTCAACTGATGATTAACAGAGTACAGACAAATAAATTATTTCATGATTTAGGGAAAGGAGAGACCAAATTGTTTAGTTTCAAACATTTGAAATAAATATGAAATCTAAACTGATAAATAAAATATAGATATTTAAGTTGGGAGTTTATGAGTTGGCATGAAATTAAAATCCTATAGATTCCTCTAAACTAGATGTGTTTGTTCTTCACTTCTGAAACACTGAGATATTTTACTTTCAAAGGACAGAGCAGAATATAAACATAAATGTTTAATCTTTTATTAGAATAAGAAAATCTTTTTATATATAATTCATACTTTTCCTTTCTAACTCCTCAATTTTGGTCTGTAAAAAATGTGATTTATGTCCTTAGAGGCTCTCATAACTTCCTGATGTTACTTTTGATATATTCATTATTTTGCTAAATTTGCAGGTGTTTTTTCACATAGTTAATGCATCCTCGTTGCACGTATCCAAACTGCTTTCAGAGCCTCACCCATTTGGTGATGATAATGAGAGCTGCAGGCGCTCTTTACTGGATGAATGTGCACACCGTTTGTTGTGGTGAAGGGACCTCAGTTCATTCACACAGGCAATCAAAGAGTTATCAGCTCCAAGGTTGAGCAAATAAAAGCCACCCGGCCTCTCTGGGGACATTTTTTCAAGCGCTCCTAAACCCTCCATCTGGTCATAAACAAATTAAGTGCCAACTTCTTAAACCTGAAATGTTTCAACTGGTCACCTACTTAAGAAACAAAGTGGTAAACCAATGTATTAGTGAAAATATGGGGCCTTTTAAATGTCAGACCGCTGCTTTATGCATTTAATAACAAGCGATTTAAAACACTAAAGCTAATTTTAGCTGATAACTAACAATTACATTTTTTTTTTTTTTATGGATGGAAAATGTAAAAATCACACAGTGTTTTATTAATGAATATTCCAATTTCATTGAGTTTTGTGCTTTGCTAGATCTGTTAAAAAATATTTAATGTTGTAAATCCAGTAATGGGAGAACTATCACTAAGTCTAAAGATATATTTTTCCTATATCTGTCTTACTTACAGCCACACATGTCTTAGATTGTGCAGCTCCACGTCTCCTGTAGATTCAAGAGACGTGGAGCTGCAATTAATTTCCTTTTTTCTTTTTTTGTGAAGGACAGTATTATTTTAATGATTATTTCAGGCATTTGTTCAGTTACTAAGCTGTATATATATTTAATAGCCTTGATCGAGAGAGAGAGAGTGATATGTTTTTTAAGCATTGTTTTCTGCTAATTTGGCTGATTATGATTTAAAACAATAGATCCCTTAATTATTTGTCTAGGGAAATTAGAATGTCACTTTAGAATTTGTTTTTAAATAAAGCTAAAATGGGGCATTCTGAGACTATCTGAGAGGGAATTTCTGTACTTTTGTGGTCACCATAAATGTAAAATGTTACTGCGTTCCATGAAGAACAGCTCAGGTCAGTCTAGCTAACCTGAGATCATTTAGGACTGTCCATTTTCAAGTCTCCACAGATTTATTTTTTTTATCACATCAGGTTCAGACTTAGAATTGGTGATTCTACTTCTGTAGCTGTTCCATTGTAGCTCTGTCTGTATGCTATGACCAATTGACCTGATTAAGCTGAACCTTTTTCTCAGTTTTAAGAGCTTTTCTCTAAAGGATCATCCTGCATTTAACTCCATCCATCTTCCAATTTACTCTAAGCAGTGTAATCCTGCTAAAGAAAAGCGGTCCCATTGTATAATGCTGCCACTGCCGTGTTTCACTGATGAGTTCAGAGTGACATTAATGCTTTTGATCAGAGCAGCTTCTTTAACAGTGACAATGTTCTATGAATGGCTCTGGAAAATTAACAACCACATTCCTATGGACTATTTTTCCTGCTGATGCTTAGCGGTAAGATTTTTAAACTCCTAATGGCTTCCTGGTCAACAGAGCGGATTAACTTCTGTTGTTAAGTTTTCATTCCTTCTCAACTATGTCAGTTTTGGAGAGATGCCCTGCTTTGATAGGGTTAGCCATTCTCTCTTTGCCCAGTATAGACGATGGACTTAACGGTGTTCTCTAGCATATCCAGCATCTGGGATAATGCATCCTAAACCTAGTCTGTTCATCAATTGTTCCGCCTGATATATATATATTGAGTACCTTTGTCTTCTTGCTGCCACTTGTTCACAAATATACTCTAAAGATTCATTCTGCTCTCTAAATATTTTACCAAAATTATAAAATCAATCACATTCGGTCTTAAACATTTCCCATTAACCCACCAAGCACAATTAGCAGTATAATGGCACAATATTAAATCCTTTTGAAGCCCCTCCACAAACTCGTCTCTATTCTCCATTAGTTGAATTAAGCTCATGGTGGAAACACAGGTTCTGTCCAGGCCAGCTTTTTGGTCCTCCCCTCTTCCACCCTTCACCCTCTACCTCTGGTCAGGGTCGATCAATACTTCCCCCGTAGCTTATCACTAATGTCCCACTGGCTGTTTGTCCACTCTGCTCTGTCTACATAAAGACTTGGACGGGACGGCTCCTAACCCAAAAGCACCACGTAGTCACCCTTGTGAACCCAGCAGCACTACTGGACGTAAAAATACAAAGATAGAAGAAACTGAGAGCAGAGTGCAGCAGGAGACCCACTGCAGCACAAGGTAAGTTTGGATTTTAATGATGTTTGATTCTTACTTCTTTATTAGAAAGTCTAATGAGGATTAACCGGAAATTGTGAACATTTGACAGACTTGTTTAATTTTTTTCCTATTTAGTAAATCTTCAGGAATATGTTATATCTTTCTGGGCCTATTAGTATTTAGCATTTATGTTTTAGAGACATATATCTGTAGAGTCACATTCCTCCTGCTCACATTCCCAAGCTAGCACAGCTGCAGTCATCCCCACAATCAGTAACAGAAGACATTCAGCTGGACTTTGGACACTTTGGATAAGCCTGCTAAAACTTGACGCTTGTTTCCTCTCTCATTATCACCATTTATACCCTACTTACTTTGGTTAAGGTCTAATAATATTTGCACAAACTGTTTATTTTCACAAAGACTACCCTGCTTCCTCTTCATTTACTCCAAAGATTAAACTGCATTTTTCATTTTGTTCTTCCAGATCCTCCACCAATCCTCCCCTCCCCATCCCAACCTTCTCCATCTGCAGCCAAGCTTTTCCTCCAGAGCTATGGAGTGTGACAATGGTGTTTGTGTCCTCTCTATCAAACGCCATTATCACACTAAATAGCTACAGTGCAGAAAGGTCCTCAGTTCATATGCTTCAAATATCGGGTTGATTCATTCTGTCCTGAATGATCCGTAGGTTCTGTACTTTCCATCGTCCAAGCTGTAGTAGAGCATGAACACGTGTGGTCATGTGTCAGAGGTGGCGACAGATCGGGTTACGTACACAGAGGGAGGACAAGCAGGGATGGAAATAGATATCAAATGGATTGAAACTTGATCTTTTCATGCTAAACA